TTTCAGAAACCCTTTCATCTTTATCAAAAAAATTGTGTGAACAATGGCTTCTTCAAGCGTCCAAAACATCAGTACTCAGGAATCTGCTTCTATGGAACAGTACGAAGAACCTTACAAAACGCTACTCACTTCTGTTGATAATCTGGAAGTTGTTTCAGAACTGATTATTGACTTTGAAAGCTTACAAGAAAACAACTTCAATCTGTATGAAGACATCAATGCTCAAGGTTGGAACAAATACTTTGACCATCTTCTAGGGCCAACATTTCCTATTCTTGTCAAAGAATTATGGATACATGCTTCTTCCTTAAATCATCAAGTTACCTCTTATGTCATGGGGAAGAAAATTGTCATTACAGAAGACCTAATTTCAAGGCTTATTGGTTACAATGGTGGAGGTGCCAGATGTGTTGACATGGCTGAAAGATGCTCTGATGTAGCTTGTATTGCAAGGGAAATCTTTACTCTTGGTCTTCCCTCCAGCAAAATCAGAGATCTGAAGGATCATCACAGAATTTGGGCTAAAATAATTCTGGGGTGTTTCAACCACAGGAAGCCAACTAGCTCTCCTGATTACATAAACATTGATCAGTAGTTTTTGATCTATTTCATTGCCAAGAAGACTAAGGTAAACCTCTCACACTTGTTGTTTAATCATCTGAGAACTAGTGTAAAGGAAACAAGAGAAGATGAACGTACCAAAAGGGACTGGATACCCCTAGGAAGACTCATATCATATATTCCACAACCTCTCTCTCCACAACAAGATATTTCTCATCCACCATCACCTCAACTTGAACAACAACAACCAGAAGCTCAACCTTTTGAGAATCAATCCTCTGATATCCACGAACCAGAACATCACCATGTTTCAACAAACCAATCTGAAGAACCTCATTCAGATTCTGATACAATTCCAATACCTGGAATCACTGAACCACTTGCCATTCGCATGCCTCTCACCATCTACGACATTCCAGAAATTCCATCTTCTCTGGAATCCACACCACCAAACTCTCCTACCAGTCCAATCATCATACCTGACTCTCCCACTCCTTCACCCAATAGCAATCCAACTGACAACGTAAGACTTGTCATTAATCCAATTGTGTTGGAAAGACTAGCTGTTATCTCTCACAAAACTGTCATTCCCAAACCAAAACCAACTGAAACCACACCAGATGTTGGTACAAATTTGTTGATTTTTGAAACAGGGGTACAAGAATGGATAAATTCCTTGAGTCATGCTAGTCTAGAGATGACTAATCCTGCTGCCTCTGATTATCTATGGACAAGATTCAGAAACTGGCTAAGTTCTAAAACACTAAAGCTAAAAGAACAGAGCTATGAATAAGTTCAACGGAATTTCAGTGCTAAGCTAAAGGTTTTTGAAGACCAAGTTCTGAGCCATCTGCTCAAGAAGGATATTCTCCCTCTAGATAATGCTCATTGGTCAGAACATCGTCCCTCAGATGAAGTTCAACCAGAATCAGAAGGTCTCTCCCTGATTGCTGCTCCAGCAGAGGAAATAGTTCAATGTGATAAAGCTGCAGAATGCTCTAAGAAGCGTCCAGATACTGAAGAATCTCCAGCACCCTCCTCAGTCATGCAAACTCTGTAAGAGTTGAAAAGAGCAAATGCTATTATCCAGGAAAGGTTGGATAAGCAGGAGGACACAAACAAAGAGATCAAGAGTATCTTGGGCAAACAAGAAGAATCTAATACCCAGATCAAGGGCTTGCTGGAAGCTTTGTTCACACGTCTTCCTCCTCCCTCTTAGATTCTTTTCTGTTTTAAATCTGTTTATTTGTAACGTTTTTTTACCAATTCTGTTATGGAACTTATCATTTCTTCTTGTTTTTAATATAATTCAACTATTTTGGCTCTGATTATATTTCCTTTTTGATAACTGACAAAAAGGGGGAGAAAGTAAGATATTTTCAATAACGGTTTACTGAGACAAAAGTCTCAAACATTCTGGACTATTTAACATCTATCTTCTGAAAAGCTTGAACAGGCACAAACTATGATGAAAGACACGGTTAAACTCTGATTCTCAAGGAACTTAAGGAAAGTAATCAACTCAGGGGGAGTTTTCTTCTAAACATTTCATTCTTTATTTTTAATTGAAAAATCGGGTTTTTGTGATCATAAAAAAGGGGGAGATTGTTAAAACATAGTTTGATTCTACAACCCTTGGTTAGAGTTTTGATGATAACAAATACAAAGAATAAATTATAAATACAAAGAAAAAATATGCACCTTAAAAATTATGTTTTATGTATGCAGAAGTTCTGATCATATCACCATCAGAAGATAAGCCATAAGTGTTACACGCTGAAGCAATCAGAACATACGCTGAAGATTGATGACCAGAAACTGCACTTAATCAAAGTAAACTCTGACTCTGAACAAGAACATATCAAACCAAGTCATCAATATTCTGAAGCGTCATCAGCAGTAAGGAGATAATATTCTGAAGTGTTACTGCTCATTCAAGACAACATCAATTCCAACGGCTTCTTTCAGACAGGATCTTCTCCAAAAGAAAAGTGTGTTAATGACATTAAACATGCATTATGATCAACGTCATTCCAATACCTATATAAACAAAGCCAGCTTTCAAAATCACAGAACGATTTTGCTAGAAAACCACTCACGCATATTTAAAGCTGCAAGCAATTTCATTTTACATTTCTAAGTTATAAACCTGTGTAATTTATCACAGTTATGATAAACAGTTTTTTTTGTTAGAAAAACAACAACACATATTGTATAATTATATTGAAAAAGTATTCCTTGAGATTAATCGGACTGTGGTTGTACTCAAGAAGACTTTAACAGTTGTTAAAGTAGCTTTTGTAATCTTGTTGAGATTAGTGGATTAAGACCTCGTCGGAGAGAGGCGAAATCACCTTGACGGATGGACTGGAGTAGTTTGAGAATAAATGAACCAGAATAAAAATACTGTCATTAAGCTTTTTAGATTCAAGTTCTCAATTCAACCCCCCCTTCTTGTGTTTTTCATATCATCATTCCCTACTTCAGTTTGGTTTGAAGGCAAGCAAGTGTGATCCTAGTCTTTTCTTTCTTCACAATGGCAGTTTGACAATTTTGGTTTTGGTGTATGTGGATGACATCATAATCACAGGAAACTCTCCCTCTTATATTGCTAATCTTATCAAATCTCTCAACACTACCTTTGCTCTCAAAGATTTGGGACAATTGGACTATTTTTTGAGGATTGAAGTAGCTCATCTTCCCAATGGAGCTTTACTTTTATCCCAATCCAAATACATCACTGACTTGCTGACTAGAGTGAACATGTCCACTGTTAATCCTATGCCCACCCCTATGGTCTCAAGCAGCAAACTTACCAAGTGTGGCTCAGATTCTGTGGTTGATCCCACCCTATTCAAATATGTAGTTGGAGCACTCTAATATGCAACTTTATCCAGACTGAAACATTCCTTTTCTGTGAATAAAGTGTGTCAATTCCTTTCCAATCCCTTGGAGGAACATTGGAAAGTTGTCAAGAGAATACTTAGGTATCTCAGTGGGACAGTGCATCATGGTTTACTCATTCAACCTGCTTCTAAGCAGCAAACTCTGCCTATTTTAGGGTTCTGTGATGCTGACTGGGCAGCAGACCCTGATGATAGAAGATCTACCTCAGGTGCATGTGTGTTTCTAGGGCCTAATCTCATCTCCTGGTGGTCCAAAAAGCAGTAACTTGTGGCTAGGTCTAATGCAGAAGTTGAGTATAGAAGTATGGCTCAATTGACTGCTGAACTGATATGGATTCAGTCTCTCCTCACTGAGCTTCACTGTAAATTTCAAGTTCCTAAAATTCTGTGACAACTTAAGTACAGTCACTTTGGCTCACAATCCTATTCTTCACAATAGGACTAAACACATGGAGCTTGATATTTTCTTTGTTAGGGAAAACATATTGAACAAAAGCTTGACAGTTGCTCATGTTTCAGCTCAGGATCAATAGGCAAATGCCCTCGCTAAGCCACTTTCTTCCATTAAGTTTCTTCCTCTAAAAGAGAAATTGAGAGTTTTACAGCAAAAGGGAGCTTCTGAAGACACCCTTGGATTCTAAGGGGAAATATTAGAGATAACTATGGTTACTCTTGTTTTTCTGTATTAGTTAGATTGTTGAGCTGACAAGTCTATTAAATCTAACTTGCTGAGTTATCATAGATCTCAGTCTATATATAATTCTGTTACAACTATTTTCATATAAAGAAATAGAAACTCAATTTTGTTACAATTTCTCTGCTTTCTATTGTCTTATCACGCCTCAATTCAAATTCTACAAAATTAAAAGCTCCGGTACATATTAAAAATAATTTAAGTAAACAAAAAATTTATTTAGAAAAATGAAGTGTTAAAGTTTATATGATTTAGAAACTATCCAATATATTTAGTTGTCTAGCTGTCGTTGAACGAAATGTCAAAAATTCTAAAAAAAAACCTTTTAAAATAAGTCAAAAACCACCCCTTTCATCGCACACACTTGATGTAATATATAAGATAATATTATGAATGAAATTTTACTACCAAACTCGCGGAAACCTCGGAGAAATGCAACCACCATGCATTTCTCCAAACAAAAACAACAACGTTACAAAAACTGCTTCTTAATTCAATTCAATCCCTGTTACCTACACCAACATTAATTAATGTAACATATTCTAATTCCTCAACAAACCTGTCTCAGAAATTCCGTTTTGACTTTTACAGCCTCAAATTCATCATCATACCATCTTGCAATCCAAACAACATTTCCTAAATCTTAACATTCCCCCTCCTCCACCCTTAATCCTCTCACATTCTTCTTCTTTCACAATTCTTTCATTTACGGATTGTCTTCAATCCTAAGGTACTACTATTCATCAATTCATAATGTGTTTTTTGTGTGTTTATATTCTGATTTTGATTTCGTTTGTTTAGGATTCCGTTTTGATTTTGAACAATTTGTAAGTGCCGGAATGGAACAGCTCCGGCATATTGGTGAGGTTCTTGGGAGTTTGAAAGCTCTGATGGTTTTACGCGATGAAATTCAGATCAATCAACGACAATGTTGTTTGATTCACGACATATTTACTCTAGCGTTTGACACGATCGCGGACGAGATAAGGCAGAATCTTAAGCTTGAAGAAAGGTCTACCAAATGGAAACCTCTTGAGATTCCTCTTAGAGAACTTTGCAGGGTTTACAAAGAAGGTGAGATATATATTAAGTATTGTTTGGAGTCAAAAGATTGGTGGGGGAAAGCACTCACACTTTCTCAGAACAGTGATTGCGTCGAGTTTCATATTCATAATTTGCTTTGTTATTTTCCTGCGGTGATCGAAGCGATTGAGAATGCTGGCGAGATGTCGGGTTTGGATCAGGATGAGAATTCGAAGAAGAAAGTTATGCTTGCTAGGAAATATGATGTGGATTGGAATGATCCAAAGCTTTTTCAGTGGAGATTTGGGAAACAGTATTTGGTTCCGAAAGAGATTTGCAAGCAATTGGAGAGTGCTTGGAGAGAAGATAGATGGAGGCTCATAGAATCAATCAAGGACAAAAAATGTTCTGCCAAATTCAATTGTTCAAAGAATGAACAAAATCTTGCAGATATGTTGTTGAAGAAACTAATGAATGGTTCCGAAAAAACAAATAATTGCAACAATAATAATAATCATAATAATCAATTATGGCCAATTGGGATTTTGTTAGGAGCCAAGGATTACCAAGTGAGGAGAAGATTGGGAAGAGGAAAAGAATATAAGGAAATTCAATGGTTAGGACAGACTTTTGCTCTGAGGTATTTTCTAGGCGAGAAAGAAGCTTACAAAAACGAGATTTCGAATTTGATATCGCTTTCTCACCCAAACATATTGCAGTATCTATGTGGTTTTTATGATGAAGAGAAGAAAGAGTTTTCTCTTGTGATGGAGTTAATGAACAAAGATTTGTGGACATACATGAAGGAGAATTGTGGTCCTAGGAGACAGATTTTGTTCTCTATACCTGTTGTGGTTGATCTCATGCTTCAAATGGCAAGAGGCATAGAATATCTTCACTCCAAAAAGATTTATCATGGAAACCTTAATCCTAATAGTATCCTACTAAGAGCTAGAAACTCACAAGAAGGTTATTTTCAAGCCAAAGTTGTAGGATTTGGTTTGTCTTCTGTGATTAATGGTGAAAACAATGCTACTAGAACTTCGCCGACGCATAATCCAATTAGTGAAGAGATTAACCCTTTAATTTGGTATGCACCTGAGGTTTTAACTGAGCTAGAACAAACGAAAAATGCTTCTACTTCTTGTAAGTACTCGGAGAAAGCTGATGCGTACAGTTTCGGTATGATATGTTTTGAGTTGTTGACGGGAAAAGTTCCTTTTGAGGATAACCATCTTCAAGGAGATAGAACTAATCAAAATATCAAAGCAGGAGAGAGACCTTTGTTTCCACACCGTTCGCCGAAATATCTTGTGAGTTTGATCAAAAAATGTTGGCAAACTGATCCGTCTCAGCGTCCTAGTTTCTCGTCTATTTGTAGGATTCTGCGCTACACGAAGAAGTTTCTTTCTATGAACACCGAGTATGTTATCATCAATCCTGAACTAAACCAGCTCGAACTTCAGAACCCACCTGTGGATTGTTGTGACATTGAAGGAACTTTCCTCAAGACTTTTCCAATAGAGAGGACAGATGATATGTGTTGTGTTGCACAAATACCATATGAAATGTTTGCTTATAAAGTTGTTGAGAAAGGGAAGATCAATAATCAGAGTCTGAATAACAGCACTATCATCAAAGATAAGAGTTGTGAGTGTGAGCCAACAAAAGATGAAGTAAATGATGATCAAAGCAAAGTTGATGGAGATATTAGTGCATCCATAATGGAAGATCAAGTAACCAACCCAAAATCAGTATCTGGTGAAACACGGTCGATATTTTCCGATAACCCCTCATTAAAGAAGAGTGTTACAATAAAGATACCATCACAAATGAAAGCAAAGAAAGACCAAGGTGAGTTTAATTTCATATCTAAAATTTTCTCATATGGCTTTCTGTGTGAACATTTATGTCATAAACTAAATATGTATTGAATTGGTTGAAACAGGAAATTCAAAACTACAATCATCAAGATCATTACCGCCATTATTATCTGGTCGAACTTCAAGGACAAATAAGGTGAATCAATCATCATTTGCATCAAGTCCTCTAAGCCCAGGTAAAAAGAAACCTACCATTTTCTCATCAGAATCTGAGCGCAATTCGAATATCATCAAAGGGAACCAATCACCATCAGTGTCAACTACAAGCTCAGTTAGAAGAAAAAGAAATGAAGGAGGCAATGTCTCAGATTCCAAGTCTTCTAGTTTAAAGCTGAAAACAAGAGACCAATTAACATCTAACAGTTTAAAGACAAAAAAAGCACCACTTCCTTTGAATCCTTCTTTGAGTCCAACAAGAATGAGAAGAATTAATAGTACTAATAACATCAGTGTAAGGATGCAAAAAGGGTTCATGTCAACACCTCCAATGAGTCCTTCAATGACTCCTTTAAGGACATGTACAAGCAAAAAATGTGGTCATGTTTCAGATATGGACAACGGTTTGAAGATACGAGGTAGATCGTCACCATTCGGATCGAGTCCTTTGAGTCCATACGTGATAAGAAAAACAACATGTAGCAATTTCTCTGATTCAGAGAGCAGTTTTAATATGAAAAGAGTAAGTTTATCACCATTTACAATAACCCCTTTGAGCCCGTACGTAAGAACAGCATGCGGTCATGTCTCGGATTAAGGGCTTTTAAGTCTTTTAGCACTTGTGGAAGATTGGTTTCGTTTTTTGCTTTGTGTTCTTTAGCAGAGTTATTAGTCCTTAGAGGGTTAGATCATTATGAATCAAACAGATTTTCTCTTTTATGGGGCATATATTTTGTTAAGGTATATAAGAAACAGAAAATGTAGCTTTATGGGAAGGTTACTTAGAAGTGCTAGTTTTGTCAATGGCTGTATTATTCTTTAATATTTTTATTTTTTTGGATATTTTGTGTTCTAGAACTGATTTATTTGCAACTGAATTTTGGATGGATGTTTTTTTAATACTTGGAGGTTACCTCCCTAACTTTCTCTGTCCTTTAATTTCTTCTGTTACTCTTTCTCACATTTAACTATGTTTCATTCAATTACGATTCTTAGATCAAAGTTCAAACAATAATGTAAAATGTTAAATTAACAAGGAATTAAATCTACATAATACATAGTTTATGCGGAAAAAAACATGCTTCATTTACATGTATTCAAATAGCAACCTAAAATGGATGTTATCAAGGTATGTTACATTTATATATACATACATCGAGAGCAGAGTGCGTCCCAAGAGAGAGAGAGAGAGAGGAAATGAGGGTGGTGTTACAATTGAAACTACATGCTTTCCTTTTATGGAGGTGAAGCTGTTTTATATATATAATTTGATGAACAAACATTTCTTCCTACAAAACTGCAATTGCTAGTCCTTTGAGTTTAAAAAATGAAAGGGGCCGCAATGCAATTTACATAGGCTCAGACAAGCACTTTGCGAGACACTTGAGCATAGAAGCAACTAAGCATATGCCGTTCTAATTACGAAGTCTCAATCTTTTTCACATTTGATCTGCTTCCATATTTGTTTCCAGGAAAAATTATGTATAACAAGCTTTTGTTAAATACGACATAATGACAATTCGAATTCTGGTTTAATGTTTGAGCTTGCTTATGCTCATTGGGATGCATCCGACCTCAAGATTGTCTGGATTTAGATTGCAAATCTACCTCTCGATCCAAGTATTGCAGAAATTGAACCCTTGTGCATCAAATTTTAAACCAGAGCTCGAGATGTCAAAAGAGTTTCTTACCATCCTCAGCAAGTTGATGGTATTGGCTCGAGTGGCCAGGGCAAAAATGTACGAGAGCCGTCGTCAGGGGAAAACTTTCCTTAAACCATCTGTAACACTTTTATACATCCACTTGAATTGGCCGCAAGAAGCATGTTTGACTTCCCTCTCCAGCACACACTTGAAACAAACTGACCTTGGTCGTCATCAGTCTCTTTGCCAGAAATGGGATCAATAGATCCAAACTTGTGTGAAGTAATTGGCATGGGAAGCGTTTTATAGTAGGTGTAAACCTGCAAGAAAATATAGATGTAATGCCAATGGATACGACTTCTGCATAAAACTAAGGCCTACTTGCTTTTTCATCTTGGCTATCCCTCTAAACAAGTTTTCGATATTACAAATGTAAGATTGCAAGTCAATTATATCATCAAAAAATTGGTGCATGATAATAGTTGTATACTCATGTATCAGAGTTTATGAATAGTTACAGCTTACAACTTTACATTAGTGCAATTTACCGAAAATATTAATTGAAAGAACATGTTCTAAACCCTTCTAATTAATAAAACAAAAGAGATGAACATTGCTGGAAACTAATACATACCTCATTTGATTCTGAACCACAGGCAATGTATCCATCAGCAACTGACAACCCCACAAAATTCTGTCAAAGCAAGAGGTGGAAGATTTCAGTGGACCCATTTGAGAAAAACCATAAGCAAACATTGGTCAGAATAATGCCACGCAAGAAAGCACAAGTAAAATTTCTGAAGCAGATATAGAGCTAACTTGAATATACTTTTCCACAAGTACCCATAAAATAGGAAAGGCTGAAAATGGGCACAAGCATTCTAAGTAATAGCTTCTCTCATATCTTGATTTCAATTTCTGCACCTCAATTATTTTTTAAAGTTTTATCCCATTTGTCTTCATAAACACCTATAATTAGAAACTGAACACTTATTTCAATTAAAAAGCTCCTAAAATCTAATCCAATTCCAAACTAAACCATCGTAGTTGGTCATGTCTTCATGACAGATGTGGACAATTTATTTTGGCTGAAGGCATACACCTTTCATAAATTTGACTAGTCATTCAGATGAACAATCTGAAACCCCATTTAACACCCAAACAAGAAAAGTTCTCTAAAGAAGGTTTAAAAAGCTGTGACAAACAAAGCTTACAGATTCCACGAATATAAATCCATTCATTAAAATCATACCTTCTCATTAGTATGTCCAGACAGGGTTAGGCTGCGAGCACTTGTAGATGCACCAACCGAAGAGGTTTTATTGAGATCCCAGATCTTTAATGAATTATCAGTAGAGGCAGAAACAAGTGTTTCAGAGTCTAAGAATTTAACATAGCTTACAGCTTTACGGTGGCCAACTAATACACACCAGGGACTTCTAAGATTACGAAGATCGTAACAGTAAGTCGAGTAATTCGCTGATCCAAATGCTAGCAAATGAGAGGAATGAGCAGAAAATTGAACACAGCAGACATTAGCAACATTCCGGATTGTTCCTAAACAGTTTCTCTGAAAAAATTGCACTATATTAGCTCTTGAATAGTTATTGCTAAGAAACTCTAGTGCATGATCCTTAAAGATCTGTCACTTGCTGATGGAAAAACAAAAACTGAATTTTTCGTAGATTCATTATATTTCTGATGTGAAAAAAGATGACTTGTTTGGTCATCAAGGATTCTTAATTTGCAGGGAGAAATTCTGAAATTGTGTTTTTGATGCATATAAAGAGTGTTTGACAAAACTTCTGAAATTCGTGCTGTGTTGTCAAATTTCCGTCTACCATGGTGTTAGGGTATGGCAGATTTTGAGCCCACCGCCATAAGCCGCATGGTCATGCTTATATGGTGACTTTTTGGCTAGCCGTCATAATCCACCTTTGATACCACTGGTTTGAGGTCATAAATACGAAGAGAGAGAAAACTCTGAAAGGAACATACAATTACATTGCAACCCTGGTTTTTTGTTGGCTATTGATTTTCTGTCAGGCAAATCAATACAAAGAGAGAAAAAACTCCCAAAGAAACAACATACAATTACATAGCAAGTTTGCAACCCTGGTTTTTTGTTGGTTATTGATTTTGTCGGGCAAAATCAGCACACTTGCATACTTACATGCATATGGCCGGCTGGTGTGTGTGTGTACGCGCGCACGCATTAGTGCATGGGAGAGGGTTTACCTCACTGATGCTCCACAGCTTGACAGTACAATCATCACTTCCACTGGCAAATTTTGTAGGGCATACTGGAGAGAAGTCAACAGACCAAGCCCTCTTTTCATGTTCACTGTACTGAGAAAATTCTTGACCTGTACTAGCATCCCATAACTGAAAATGCATTGCATAATGCATGCCATGAATAATGCTGGTAATCAGAGCATGCTAATTAATTATCAATAAATAGTTATATTCTTTCAGAATACCCCCACCCCCCATATAATTCATTTCCAATTTTCCATGTATGATATTAGTACACTACCACAAAGTCACAGAATAAAATGACATTATTTGAGAACGTCTTAGATGAAAATAACAGGAGTTTCCACCTAGACAGCTAATCTATTATTTTGTTTTCAGAAAACAAATGTTAGATTTTAGAAGTCCCCATTTTTTACCAGTACATGATGGTTGAGAACTTTGTAACTAAAAATGTCCACAGGCAAAATGTTTTTACACCCACCGCCTGCCACCCCCCAAAAAAATTATAGCCTATGAATGAACCGTATCAAATGATATAACAAAAGTATTCCCAGCATACTAAGTTAATAAGGAATACTGCAAAAAAAATGTCTTTCTCGGTGATAAAACAATAATTCAAGTTGTGTCTGCAAAGCATACCTTCACTACACCGTCGTAGTCTGTAGAGGCAAGATAATTCTTAATATAGTTATTCCAGCAAACACAGCTGAGCTTTGATCTGTTTGACATCTCAACTGCAGGATAATGGATATCGACAGAATCATTGCAAAGTGTATTGAAGTCAAAGATTTTTATTTTCTTAGATATCCCAGCAGAAGCAAAGTAATCTTCATCCCGATCAAAGCTCAGAGAGCATATCACATTCGCAGGATTGTTAAAATCTGCATTTCTTAGCATACCCCGCACTTCAAGCCTGTTGTAACGTGCATATTTGCTCAAACCATCAAAGAAGGTTCCTAAGGCATCTTTACTTTTATGTTTTTCTTCGCCTTTTTGTGTCACACACAAGTTCTCACGAGTTCTTAGTATATCTTTCTCTGGGTGATCTGTGGCACCTGTTTCAGAAAGCTGAACCTTGGATCTCATGGAAAAGTAAGCACTTTCAAGATGGCCTATGTTTCTCATTAATCTCATTTCAGTTGTATTAGAGATTGGGGATACTGTGGGCAGCATTTCTACACTCAAAAGTTCCTTTCTCAGAGGCATAATCTCTTTCTGACAAGAGTAATCGTTCTGCAGGCCAGAGGAAACAAAGGATTTTCTTGAGCTATGCCTCCTCTCTGCCTCTTTTATATCTGATTCCAAGCACTTCAATTGTTCAACCAATTTGGAGGCATCGTTCTGCTTCTGCTCTTTCAACGAGGTGAGGAAATGTAATAATAATTCTGACTCAGCATCTTCTTTGTCTATACGTGATGACAATTCCTCACTACACAACTCCTGTAATCCATTGATCACTTCGGATTGTAGGATTTCCCTGTTATGCAACAAGAGATTTAAGTTTAGGGAATCATATCAACATAAGTTATTAGAGCTTTAGCAAATCATATCTATAAAGGTACAACGATTGTGGTCCAAATTATAAAAAGTTAACAGCATCTTTTATAAAAAAATATACCTAAATATTTCAAAGACCCGAAGAGAAGAATATCCAAATAAAAAATCATCAGAATCATTATAGCAATTGCATACATATTATTTAATAAAGCTCATTTCAGTAATTAGTAATGACAAAGGGAGAAGTAGACATCTTAGAGAGCAGAGATTTCAACTCTATAATAGCAGCTTAGTGAATAATGATGATGATGAAAAGAAAAAATAATACATGCATCTACCTAAACACAAACTTAAATAGTCTCATTAAATGAAAATTATATTTTTTTACTTTGATTTATAATGTGCTTCTAAGCTTTCATCCTGTAAATGTGATCCCTACATATATCTAGTTAATAATGCAGCACACATGAGATATGATTGATGAACCTGGTGATGACAAATGTCATGCATATGATTGTAATTCATAGAGTTTGGATTTAGCTAACCCAACCGCACAATACAAGTTTGTAAGGTGAACCCCCCATTAACTTATGAACACTATTCAGGCCATATCACTATCAAATGTGGGACTCTCGGACTCAACCCCCAACCCCTGTCCATGGCCCGTGCGTATGACTAGATATCTCAAGTGCTACCTAGGTAGCGCAACGGATCTAGAACAGACTCTAATACTACCTTAAAATATGGGTTGAGCCTAACTGAATCCTACAGTACCAAATCGCAAGGGGAAGGTTCTCCCACTTATAACCATTATTCAAGCCATATTTCTATCTAATTTGGGTCTCTCATCAATATACCTTTGACCATCACTTTATGGGTGTGCCATGCTTTAAATATTTAATATACATTGTTCTATATTTACAATTTTATCAAAGAAACAAATGATAGATCTGTATACCAGATGCTAATGACTAATGTTTACATATAATTTCAATTGAATTAAATCACATGGCAACTACGATAGACAATATTTCAATAGTACCCTGTTGTTGGACGTGATGATGGTTCAGGATGCAGCAGCCAAAGACAAAAGCCAGCTTCCTTAGGATTTTCTGATAGGAAAGCTGGAGGAAGAATCCTATGATGAAGATCAGACATTGTTGCAATATGTGCTTTTTCAGAGTCAAAATGACTTAGTAACTGAAAAATTTGAAGAAAAAAATTAAGCTTCTGACTTGATGTTTATTGTTCCAGTGATAATGATTGAGAACGGAATGAAATAAAATAATTTAATTCATTGAAAAGTTTGTCAAACCATATTGCATATTAAGTTACTACCAATAATTGAGTAGAAATATGAGCACTAAACGCCCGTATGGGTCTATTATTCAACATGAAACCAGGCAGGCGGCAGCTACTATACTAAAAAAATGTACTTCATATCTGAATTTGAGTCTTACTAGGAGGATGTCAGAAAGCTAACACTAAATATAGGGAAAATCTCAACTTTTTAAGTTTCCAAACAACAATAATGCTAGAAAGCCATGTTGACCTCAGAACATAGATAGATAGGGATGTGGGTTTTCAAATGTACTACAGAAGTTCATATGTAAAATACTTCATTTGAAGGAGTTGAGAATATCTATTATCATAGAAAATAAGAAAGCTGCATGTAAATAATGAAGAAATGTATGATGAAATGGTCTACGTACCTCAAAAAGGAGTACACCGAGGCAGTAGATGTTTGATGATGTTGTGCAACCACCCTCAGGACTTGCATACCACTTATTTTCCCATCTTTCACATAAAGATGTAGATGAAAATTCACCTGTATTAGATACACAAGGGATGCTAGACATTCTCCCAAAATTATACAGAGAAAATTGGTTATCTTTCTCATATTCGGTTCGATAACCTAGTGATCCAACTGTAGGAGTTTGAACATTATGATGACTAGCAGTCTCATTACACAAGTCACTCCCAGTAACCCTCACCCTCTCATCAATTTTTTGTTTCTTGGACTCCATAGCAATAGAGGAAGATGTTACTTGCTCAGACACCCTTTTTCTAATAAAAGAATTATCTGAGTTAAGAACTTCAGGATTTACAACACTGTCTGACATCTGTGTTTGAGTAGGTAAACCAATGTACATGACCTGATTTGACGGTAACAATTTAATGTAAGATGGACAAAGGTTATGCAATGCAATTCCCCGAGAGTGAGAGTCATCCACCAAATCCACTATTTTTCTAAATATAGTAAAACTTTCCACTTTTCCTGTTTTGCGCTGGCCAGATTTTAACCATTCTCTCAATGTTACACCGTCACATTCAGTCATGCAAGACTTAGGCACAGAAGCATCACTGTGAAAGGGAAAGTTGGCAGTTTTGGAATCATACTTCACTGATTTACTAGAGTTTGACTGAGCAGCAATACCAGTCTTCATTTGTTTCTGATCTGTACCAGTGCTGGTCTTCATCTGATTCTGATCTGCGCCAATGCTAGTCTTAATCCAATTCTGATTTGCACCACTGCCAGCCTTGACCTGATTTTTCTCTTTAGACTGAACATAGAACCGATCCGAAGATGGACCTTTATGTACAACACCCTTACTCTTCAACGAATTTTTAATAAAATACTCAGCAAACCCAGATTTGGATAATACTTTTGTCCGCATTCCTCGATGAACATCCCCAGCACCCTCTTTACTCTCACCAGCCGCCAAGTGTTCAATGACATTGCTCTGACCATCACTGTGTGATTTCCTAGCTAACAACTCAGGAAAAGATGTGGATCCAATATCTTCCCAAGCACTAGATGTAGCCTGGCCACTATTCATCAACCCAATATCACTTAATGAATTTCCATTTCCAGAATTATTCGTCATCTGATAAAGATTCTGCCAATGTTTCTGTTGATTATTATACATTTGCACTTGACTATTCGATGTACCAATATCGAAACTCGAACCATTGTAACTTTTTACAGTTAGTTCCTCAACCGTCGCATAAGCATGCTGCGACGTAGCCGCTTCAGTAACAGCCTCAACTACATTTTTCCCTTGTAGAATAGCATTATACTCCAATGGTTGTTGCGATTTCAAAACTTTCCGGCTATCTGTTATCGGTGAATACACATCATCCTCTTTAATCTGTCGCTGTGAATCCTCAGAAGCCTCTAATTGAATTCTCTCATTAACCAATTCTTCCTCCATAACTAAGTTTTAGTAAATTCGTCAATCACGTAAGCTCCATATTTAGCAATCAACACACAAACTAAAACTGTTCATGAATAAATCAAATAAACATTAATTAGAATTTATCATTTGGCATTACAATCACAGTAGGAAAAAATCAACTTATATTCTATACTACTTGCAGATTTGGAAAGTGAAAAACGCTAATTCAAGTAAAATAATGAAACATTTTGGTGAAGATAAGCTGAAGAATGGAAATTAATGATTAAAATAGTAGTAATCGCAAAACCTGATAAGCAAAGAGTCAGAAGAGATTATGAGATGGAAAAGCACTTACATGAAACGCGATTATTTGGTGGAAGTGAAATAAGTCGGTGTAAGAAGAAAATGTGTGGAAGGAAGAACACGCGCTGTCAAGTCTCACCACATATGAATGAATGAGAATAGCGAACTAGAAACGAGTATTGGTAAAGCAATAAAGTCATGAAGATTTGATTAAAGATAAACGGTGTAAGGGTCCGGTTTCATTACTGAATTCGACCCGACCCGACCCTCTTCCCTATTAAGTGTTGTTTCATTTATTAGGAAAATGAAAATATCTTCACATTTTGTTTTGGAATTATATATGAGATGGAAAATGATTGTAAGGACACTCGATATTATAGATTGGGATTATTATAATAGATTGGATCAAAAAAATTGAGATGATTCAAAGTGAAACATGTCAAAATATGACTAATTTTATTTTGATGATTAATAGGAAAATGATAATTAGTATTTCATGGCACTATTTAAAAAATTAATATTTTTAGAATTCGAATAATTGATATATTAAAAATTAAAATTTTTGACTTTTTTTTTTTAAAAAATATTTAAAATCTTTAAAAAATATTCATTGAAAATGGTTAATATGAGTCACTCATTTAATGTATATTCAATAATGAAACGATTTTAAAATTTTAATCTACATATTAATATTTTTATTCTTATTTAATCTATGATTTAAATTTTAATTAAATATTTTAAATTAATACTAATATGTAAAAACAAATTAAATAAAGTGAGTGAGATAGCTTGTATTAGTTAAGTTGGATGGGTATAAGTTACTTTTGTAAATCAATAATTTTGTAATAATAATAATAAATTAAAATAAGTTTTATAATAATAATTGAAAATTAATGATAATACGTCAGGAACTAAATGCCAATAATTTTATATAAAATAAAATAAAAATTATATTAATTGAAATTTATTTGATATAAACAAATGTGGTTTTGAAGCAATAAGGTCAAAATTTGATAAATAAAGGTTGTTAAATGAATATAAAATAGATGAAATTGGAAAAACTAGGGGCAAAATTAAGAAAATATAATAAAATTGAATAAATAAAAATAGGTAATAATATTCTTTAATTGTCATAATTTGTAAATAAAATTTAGAGATATTAATTTATTTAATTATTTTGATTGTTCTTAAAAAAAAAACCCCAATCATACAGAGTTTGTGTCGAGAACTATAGGCACTAGTCAAGTGTTATTTCTATTTAAGAATTGATCATGATGTTTTCTAGATTATGTTTTTAACAGGAGCTCATTTATTATTGGAGTTCAAACCACTTGTTTTTTTATTACACATTTGACCTGTATTTTCATGGATAGGATTGAGTTTGCCATTTAATGACTAAAAATTTAAATAAAATATATTTTTATAAAAAAAAAAAGGTAAAATACATATTTTATTTTCTTAATTATGTCTTTGAGTTCATATTGGTCTTTTAATTTTTTTTCGTTTTAACTTAATTTCTTAACTTTCAAAATGTTTCATTTTAATCTTTTTTTGTCTATTTAACGATCGATTTTTAAATTTTTTCACCGTTAATTAAATAAAAAAGACTAAAATAAAATATTTTTAAAATTAAATAATCAAATTATACGGAAAAAAATTGAAGAATTAATTTAAACCTAAAAGTAATGGATATTTTGCCCAAAAAAATAAGGATTGGCGGTTAGAGAAATTAAAATTATCTAATGTTAATTTTTTGGTGTTGCTTTTAAAAGTGTTAAGTGCTATTAATAAATATATTGAATGTTAAAATGGTTGAAGACTGAACAAATGAAATCACATTAAGAGATTTTTTTTGTGAAAATAAGATTAATAACAATGTTAATAAATCTAAATATTATCTAAATTGTCCTTGATTGCCCTTTTTCAATTATTACCATTTTTTATTAATTAGGATTATTTTGGATTAAACACACTTAATTATTTTAATAATTGGCAAATCTTAATTAGCATAATTTATTATATGTATCTTTCAAATTTTCTCATTCGCATTAATCATATTTATTTACCATACAGTCAATTTCAGTCAATTTTCTCACTAATTTTCTCACTGCTCAATGCAATTAATTTCCCAATGATCAATGCAGCTGGAGTATAAAGGTCACGCATGGAAAAGGAAAATATGTCAATGCAATCATGAGGAAAAGAAAAGTCGTCAAATGCAATCAATTTCTATTTTGAATAAATAGTGTTAAAAATCTTTGAAGCAACACATGAATCCAACATAGTTTTTGTTAACAAGCCTAGAGAACATAGATCGAAGGAAAATAGAAGACATACTGGACTCTATCAAGTGTAGAAACCTTTAAAGTTTTCGAACAACAGACGTAAACCTTTAAAGTTAACAAATTTCTTATTCTCTGTCTTTGTTTATGTGTTGTGAATATGATTTATGTGTTTCATGTCATGAGTTATCTTTATACTTATGCCCAATATCATTCAGTTGTTAACGTTGTTTTGTATTGGCTCTTGTCATACCCAAAATTTTGACCTAAGATCCCACCTTCATTTGTATCTTCATTTGCATCAAGATCACGAGATACAGTTGGTTTTTTAATCCACTCACCTTCGAGCATTACTTATGCAGAGACTATCAATTGTTGTAAACATTTTATTTTATGCATCACTAACTTCTAATCCCATGCAAAGGTATGTTTGTGTTTCTTTGGTTTCATGATTTGAGACAGGTCTGAATCAAGAGCGTCAGGTGTTGCGCCTCAATTAGTGTTTTGGATCCCTCAAGTGTTCAAGTATGATGAATCACTAATTCTCAAAGACTACTTCATTAAATCTTAGCTTTTAACCAAAAGCACAATCAAGATTTCATCATCACTAGTTCACATGTGCATCAATATGCCTTGGAATGCAAGGAATGATCAAGTTTACAAGTCGATTCAAAGCACTTCGACCAAAAGTCAACTTTTGCAAGATCAAGTTCAAACGATCATAACTTCTTCATTATTCAATATCTTTGAATGGTTCCTTTTGCGTATAACTCTCTTTGGCACCATCTCCAACTCCTCTTTACCCGTCAAGATCTGATTATGTGCGGAGAATCATCAAAAGTTTGAATACTTTAGAGGTTATTCTGTGGACTTTGACCTAATTTCAAGTAACTGTCGCCCGACTTTTAAGGATCATAATTTCCTCAATTTCCAATATTTTGAGATGATTCTTTTTGCACATTGTCATGAGTGATGTCGTCTACGAGTTTTCTTCAAGGATCAGAGTCATATTACGCTTTGAAGGCTATGGAATTTATTGAAATGTTATAGGTCATTTTCGTAACCTAGGATGTTCTTAACCTCCAAGCCATAATTCATGCCATAATGTTTTTCCTTGAGACATTGATTCTTATGATAGGATTTAAATTTGTTCATCAATCTTGCAAGGTTGGAAAGAAGAGACATTCAGATTTATTGAGATTTAGGCAATAAGCCATACAAGTTCAAAATTCTAAGTAAGTTCAAGTTTAATTCAAGTCTATTCATGTGGGTTATCTTGAATTCAAGCATCAAAGTCAAAGTGTACATCTTGATCTCAAGAATTAATTTGAGTATGTAAGATTGGGAAGTTCATGTTACTTGAGATTTAGGGCATTCATCATGATCCTAAAATGGCGCACATCATTGTGTTCATCACAAAAACTCAATTCTTTCAAGTTCTTTTCAAATTTAAAATAATAAGTCTCTACAAAGAATGCAAATATCATACAAGGTGATCCAAAGTTTGATTCAAGTAATTAGGACACATTTTTCACTCATAACTTCAAATGTACAAGTCACTAGAGATGATAGCTTTACTTCCTTGAAACATTTACAAAAATAATACAAGACCTAATGCTAAATGTTTCAAGTTTTACTTCAATCTCCAAAAACCTCTTTCTTCATAACAAGATGGGAAGCCATGTCATTGCCTTTTGTGATGCGGTGGCAGAACCGACTGTTTTTACTGGTTTGCATTTTGCGTTTTGTGTTTGCAAAATGTCGCGGTAAGCAAGAGTCGCCACCGACTTTTATTTCATCCAATCATGAAAAAGGAAAAAAAATAGAAAAAACCTTTTTTCGAGATATTTCTGAGTACGGGGGTAGATTATAAAAAGGGAAGGTGTTAACACCCTTTCTATCCATGGTTTTCCATGGGCTCTTAGGTACTTGCTCATTTTTAAATTGCTTGTGTATGTGCTTGCTTGGAAAATGTTTTATTTCGTGATAACCCTTGTATCAGTCCTCAAGGATGTGACGAAGTTGTTTTGAAAATTGTTTTGAAAAGGTGTTAGTGTGAAAAGATTTGTTTTGAGCAAGTACCTACTAGCATCCACCTACTCGAAAAAAGATTGTTTTTGTTCTATTTCCTTTAGACAACGCTATCCCACTATTAAGGAGTAGGTAGCACCGTCGTTGGAGTTTGTAAGGGACATTCGAAAGGGATGAATACAATCACTAAAGCAATAGTTAGAAAACTTTAGTAGTAACCCTAGAGTCTTAAGATCTTTTCGAGGCGACGTTTCCGAGGCAACATTTCTGAGGCAACATTCGAATAGGCCAATTTGATCTCTTTAGACTGGAGGGCCACCACTAAAATCTCCTATGCTTAATGATTGTGTACCGAAGGCAACCGAAGTGAGGTAAACCCTAGGAGTGAACATGTGCGAGTGATTTGTTTCAGTTATTTTA